ATTTATTTATTTTATACTTCAAGACTAGTGTCGTCAAAAGGTTTCCAGGGCTGGGCCAAGCAGGCCTACAGTTGTACCGGCACGACTTACTACATTTCCACGAAAGGGTTTTGACTGCCGTCTAACAGCCACTTGCTGCATATAATACACATTTAGGGGTTAAGTTTTACAATTTTTAAAGAAATACTCTAACTTTTAACATAAAACATTTTAAAGATGCACAGCGCTTGTTTCTAGCTTAAGTTTGAAAGGAGAAATCGGCAAAATACTGCTTTATTTTTGCATGAGAGAGTTTACATCTTGGTTTGCAGTGAATGTATATTGACAACAATATTCTTCGACTGTCTTAAAATATTCTAGAAATAATTTGACAATAATATTATTATATTCTTATTCCACACTTTTCCTAGAATAGAGTCTTCATGAGCTTTCTCCAGAAATCCGCCAACAAAAAGATCAATATCCTCTACGCTTGTGTAGATTCTACGTAGTTTCTCAATTTGAACTGCATCAAGTGAACTCCTTAAACATAAAGATAGATATCCTCTACATTTGTGTATATTCTACGTAGTTTCTCAATTTGAACTTCATCAAGTGAACTCCTTAAACATAAAGATAAATATCTTTTACATTTGTGTATATTCTACGTAGTTTCTCAATTTGAACTGCATCAAGTGAACTCCTTAAACATAAAGATCAATATCCTCTACGCTTGTGTAGACTCTACGTAGTTTCTCAATTTGAACTTCATCAAGTGAACTCCTTAAACATAAAGATCAATATCCTCTACGCTTGTGTAGATTTTACGTAGTTCCTCAATTTGAACTTCATCAAGTGAACTCCTTAAACATAAAGATCAATATCCTCTACGCTTGTGTAGATTCTACGTAGTTTCTCAATTTGAACTTCATCAAGTGAACTCCTTAAACATAAAGATCAATATCGTCTGCACTTGTGTTGATTCTACGTAGTTTCTCAATTTGAACTTCATCAAGTGAACTCCTTAAGCATAAATAAGTTCAATTTTAGGCTTACTGTCTGCTTCGCGTTCCTTTTTCTAGGAGCAATTCTAACTGTTACGCGATGCTCTTCGAACAGCGGTTTTTGTTTGTAAATCGTGTTTCTCTTGAAAATTGTGCATCTTTCAAAATAAAAATGTCTAAAGCTTTATCTAGGGAAGTGCCTCAACAAGTTGGTTCAGTCGTTCTGAAATTTATTGAAACAAACAAACACTTAAACAAACAAGCAAAGCATATATATGGAAGTGAATAACTGAGAGAATAAAACCCTGAAAAAATCACCTTAATTCCTCCCAACTGTTGACCTTTTCTCCCAGACAAATTTCTCTAAAATTAGAATCAAATTCAAATAACTTAAACCTTGTCCTATAAAGTAAAGATATTAACCTGTATCTAATGTATCCAAAATAAAGATATAAACCTGTATTTATTGTATCCAAAATAAAGATATAAACCTGTATCTATTGTATCCAAAGTAAAGATATAAACCTGTATCTAATGTATCCAAAGTAAAGATAAAAACCTGTATCTATTGTATCAAAAGTAAAGATATAAACTTATATCTATTGTATCCAAAGTAAAGATATAAACCTGTATCTATGGTAATCAAAGTAAAGATATAAACCTGTATCTTCTGTATCCAAAGTAAAGATATAAACCTGTATCTAATGTATCCAAAGTAAAGATATAAACCTGTATTTATTGTATTCAAAGAAAGGATATAAACCTGCATCTATTGTATCCAAAGTAAAGATATAAACCTGAATCTAATGTATTCAAAGTAAGGATATAAACCTGTATTAATTGCATCCAAAGTGTAAAGATATAAACCTGTATTTATTGTATCCAAAGTAAAGATATAAACCTGTATCTAATGTATCCAAAGTAAAGATATAAATCTGTATCTATTGTATATAAAGTAAAGATATAAACCTATATTAATTGCATCCAAAATAAAGATATAAACCTGTATCTGTTGTATATAAAGTAAACATATAAACCTGTATCTAATGTATATAAAGTAAAGATATAAACCTGTATCTAATGTATATAAAGTAAAGATATAAACCTGCATCTATTGTATCCAAAATAAAGATATAAACCTGTATCTATTGTATATAAAGTAAAGATATAAACCTGTATCTATTGTATATAAAGTAAAGATATAAACCTGTATCTATTGTATATAAAGTAAAGATATAAACCTGTATNCTATCTATCTATCTATCTATCTATCTATCTATCTATCTATCTATCTATCTATCTATCTATCTATCTATCTATCTATCTATCTATCTATCTATCTATCTATCTATCTATCTATCTATCTATCTATCTATCTATCTATCTATCTATCTATCTATCTATCTATCTATCTATCTATCTATATATCTATCTATCTATCTATCTATCTATCTATCTATCTATCTATATATTTATCTATCTATCTATCTATTTATCTATCTATCTATTTACCTGGTCTGGACTCGAAAAGATGATCCTTGATATCTGGGACGAAATTAGAATCCCATAAACTGGATCCTTCGTCCGTCATCCCCCGTACCATAGAGTCAAGGAATCCAGACGTTGACATTTCTAGTGATTAAAGGGATTCAAAGGATTTGAGGGATTACAGGATTTAAAGGAATGTATAGGATTAAAGGGATTAAAAGAATTATGCGAGATAAGAGGAATTAAATTTTTTAAAGGGATCAAAGGGATTAAAGGGATTAAAGGAATTAAAGGGATTAAAGGGATTAAAGGGAATAAAGGAATTAAAGAGATTGAAGGGATCCAAAGGAGATTACAGGGATTAGAGGGATTAAAGGAGGGATTAAAAAGAAAAAAGAAATTAAAAGGATTAAGTTGATTAAAGGAATTAAAGGGATTAAAGATATTAATGGGAATGTAGACGAAATTTCAAATGTTGCTCCATTGAAAGAGTCACATATCTGATTTAAAACAGTTCCTTTACCTTCTTGCCTTTACACATCATTTTTTGTCCTTTTCCAAATTTAAACGTTTTAAGTTCTGAAATTTCTCTCATTGTCTCTTCAGTTTATATTGTCAATTTAATAGTCAATCCACAAATGAAAATAATCAATTTGCCGTTATAAATATAAGGATATCTCATTCAGCCGTGATCAGACGAAGTTTGAAACAGAACCGTTGTGAATCAGGTATGGCATCATATAATTAAAGGGTTATGTGTTAGCATGATGTTCCCAAGATGTATAGTCCGTTTTAGCATGATGTTCCTAAGATGTATAGTCCGTTTAGCATGATGTTCCCAAGATGTATAGTCCGTTTAACATGATGTTCCCAAGATGTATAGTTTGTTTTAGCATGATGTTCCCAAGTTGTATAGTCCGTTTTAGCATGATGTTCCCAAGATGTATAGTATAATAATAAATATTAATATTAACAAAATATGATTTATTACAATTGGCTGAAACAATACAATGAACAATATTTCTTTAAACTATAATTTGTAATTTTAATGGTTTTCAAGTTTAGTCTTTTTTAAACACTTCTAGCACAGGACTGTAAATATTTACCGGAGAACTGTAAAAGAAAAAAAATCAGATAATCATCTAAAACTTAATAATATTATCTGACCTTTGGGTTGAAAGAATATCTCGCTGAGGTTTAGAACTGTCTCACTTCGACCCTTGTTTTTAGCACTGAAGGTTCGTGGAATCATGGAATGTCCAAATCTGAAGAAAAAGCTATGATTAATTAATATAATTAACTAACTAACTAACAAACTAACTAACTAATTAACTAACTAATTAACTAACTAACTAACTAACTAACTAACTAACTAACTAACTAACTA